TCGTAATTGACGTCTTATTTTATGGTTTTTATAATATTTTATATTATTTTTTTAGTCATTTTCCTACTCAAATAGGTTACTTGAAACCGTATATTAAGAAAGAGGGCTAATGCATTGTAATGATTAGGCTTGATCATTGAATAAACCCATATTTCTCTCTCTTATTTCTCTTGATTCTCTCCCCGTTCTTCTCAAGTCTCATACTTGTTCGTTGCATTCTATGTGAATGAAGTTGTATATGACAGCTGTCCTCTGTATGTGCTGCAGATTCGTGTCTCTGCTGTCCTCACTAATGGAGCATATCTTTTGAATGTTGATTGTGATCACTACTTCAACAATAGTAAAGCACTCAAAGAAGCAATGTGCTTCATGATGGATCCTGCATTTGGGAAGAAGACTTGCTATGTCCAGTTTCCACAGCGTTTTGATGGCATTGATATGCATGATAGATATGCTAATCGCAATATTGTCTTCTTTGATGTAGGTGTCACTTGATTCTTTGCATCTGTGATATTTTGTGGTGCCTTTACACAATTAATTTTGTATGGTCCTCTGCTGCAGATAAACTTGAAAGGTCTGGATGGCATTCAGGGACCAGTCTATGTGGGAACTGGATGTTGCTTTAACAGACAAGCCTTGTATGGGTATGATCCTGTCCTAACTGAGGAAGATTTGCAACCAAACATTATTGTCAAAAGCTGTTGTGGATCAAGAAAGAAAGGAAAAAATGCCAATAAAAAGTACATGGATAAGAAGCAAGAAATGAGAAGAACTGAATCTACCATTCCAATCTTTAACATGGAGGATATTGAAGAGGGTCTGGAAGGTAGGACTGCTTGATAGGTTATATTACTTTCTATAATGCGTTACATGTCACTGGGATGAGGAAGCCGAGCCACAATTCATGTTCAACTTGTTGCATTTAAATTATACTTGAAACACACAACATTATGTAATTTAGGGTTCTCTTTGCCCGTTTGATAAATGTTTTCTGGAGAACTCTACACAGAAAGTAGATGGATTATATGCTGTACTGCAACAACCTCACTATATTTGAAACCTAGCTTAATAATATTTAAACTTAATTAACATATTTACCTTCCACTCTTTAAAAGTGAGCTTCAAGTTTTAGTAAGTTTAGCTTCTGACTTAAACATGATCAATGTATCATTGTGGTTTATGCTATTGACATTCTTGTATTTGTAGGATATGAAGATGATAAGTCACTTCTCTTGTCTCAGAAGAGGCTAGAGAAGCGGTTCGGTCAGTCAGCAGTTTTTATTGCTGCCACCTTTATGGAACATGGTGGCATTCCACCAACAACAAATCCTGCTACTCTTTTAAAAGAAGCAATCCATGTTATCAGCTGTGGATATGAGGATAAGTCTGAGTGGGGCAAAGAGGTAGTGTGCTATTTCCTGCTACTCTCGTAGTTTTTTGGCATCTGGCTTTGAAACTTTTCTTTTGTGGATGATATTTGCAATTTGAAATACTAACTCAATTCAGCTTTACTTTTTGATATCAGATTGGTTGGATTTATGGTTCGGTCACAGAAGATATTTTAACTGGATTCAAGATGCATGCACGAGGATGGATTTCAATATACTGTATGCCTCCTCGACCAGCATTTAAGGGGTCTGCTCCCATCAATTTGTCAGATCGTTTGAATCAGGTCCTTAGGTGGGCTTTGGGATCCATTGAGATTCTTCTTAGCAGGCATTGCCCTATATGGTATGGCTACAATGGAAGACTAAAGCTCTTGGAGAGGCTAGCGTATATCAACACAATTGTTTATCCCCTCACCTCTATTCCATTGCTCGCTTATTGCATTCTGCCAGCTATCTGTCTTCTCACTAATAAATTTATCATTCCAGAGGTATGAGCAAATTTTTTTTGCTTTTCATCTTATTTGCATACGATACTTATCCTGTTTATGGAGGCACAAGATTTATGTCCAATGCATGTAATTCTCAACTTTTTACAATGCTTCTGCAGATAAGCAATTTTGCTAGCATGTGGTTCATTCTTCTCTTTGTCTCCATTTTTGCCACTGGAATACTGGAAATGAGGTGGAGTGGTGTCAGCGTTGAGGATTGGTGGAGAAATGAACAATTCTGGGTCATTGGTGGTACGTCTGCTCATCTCTTTGCCGTCTTCCAAGGTCTCTTGAAAGTACTTGCTGGGATCGATACCAATTTTACTGTCACTTCAAAGGCATCTGATGAGGATGGAGAGTTTTCAGAGCTTTACGTGTTCAAATGGACATCCCTACTCATTCCTCCCACCACTGTCCTTATTGTGAACATCATAGGCATAGTTGCTGGTGTTTCATATGCCATTAACAGCGGATACCAGTCGTGGGGTCCTCTTTTCGGGAAATTGTTTTTTGCTATGTGGGTTATTGTTCATTTGTATCCTTTCCTCAAAGGTTTGTTGGGCCGGCAAAATCGTACTCCTACCATAGTCATCGTCTGGTCAATACTCCTTGCGTCCATTTTCTCCCTCCTCTGGGTTCGGATAGACCCATTTACATCGGAGGCCACAAAGAGAGCTGCGCAGGGTCAATGCGGCATCAATTGTTAGGTACCTCTGAAACATCATTTTATATACACAAGCTCCATTTCTGCACCTCACACTAGCCTTTTTGTGTATAGACAGACAAGAAACTTGAAAGGAGCCTTCCTAAGTTAAATGTTGTAATCTTTTACTTTGTTGGGAATGAACGGTGGATAAATTCATTACACATTTGAAAGTAATTGTCATTCCATTAATACTTTTTTATACTGTCTCAATCGTTTATTATTTCTATTGTTTGATGACCCTTGGTAGTATTGCAGAGTCACAGACGTTGATTGTGTCCATTCTTATTGAGTCTTTAGAAAAATAATAATTTCTAATTATACTTTTCTTATCTATTTTAAAAATAACGAGTATGTAAGCTTAAGCCCCTGTTTGGGCTCCATTAGGCCATCTCCTTCGTTATACCAAAATTGGCGTTATTTTGCACCAATCCAAAATTCATTTCTAACTATTACACCAAAATTTACAATAAATGAATAGTATTTTATTATTTTATTCATTATTTCGATTTTTAACAATGTATTTATTTTATAACTATATAAATTACTAAATCATAACTTAATTAAATTAACAAATATATTGAATTATTATTGATTACTAAATTATTCACATATTTTAAATATTATGTTAAATTGACGAAAATAATTGATTATATTATTAATTTATTATAAAAATTACGTTAAAATTACGAAAATAATTACTAAATTAAAAAAATCCTTAATTAATAATGATAATATATTATTATTATTATTATTATAGAACGAAAATGACACAAATACCTTTAACCATTATTTTCGAAAAATGAAAAAAAAAATGGCAAAATGGCATCAAAATGGTGCAACAAAGTGCAACACTGTTCATGTTGCACCAAAATGTTGCAACGGTTGGAGGGAGGTTTGCACAATAGGTTGAAAATGAGTAGTTCAGATAGAATCGAACTTCCGATCAATCCCTGTACTTCGCATCCTATGGATGAAGACATGGTCTCTCTGGATCCCATTGGATTTCATTCGGAGGAGGAACCTCATAAAGTTCGTATTGATTCTTATCAAAGAAAGACAGGATTAACTCCTTATTCCACATGAGTGGAATAGTAACTTTTCAGATAATGTATAGTTGAAAAATAAAGAAAGATTATTGGGTTTTATGTGTAACATTATTTTATTGAAGAATGTATGGTTGATAAGAAAAGAGAGAAAAATAAAGTTTAATTTAATGGGGGCCAAACATGGACTAAACTTTATACTATTTAAACTTTGTACGAGTTTATTGTTTTATTTGTATCATAATGTTTATGTGTAGAAAGTTTCAATCCAAGTGTTGTATTGAGAGATCAGTCAGCCTATTTATTTTTTTCACTTGTTTGATATGTCGCTAAAATCATGGTTTGAAACCAATCAAACCGCTAAAAATGATTTGATTTAGTTTGACTTGAAATTTTTCCAAAACGTTTAAAATAATGTGATACAAAAATAAGTAAAAACCATCTAAATCAATTTGTGTTCGACCCTCTTTCACGTCTTTTTCATTAATCATATATAATGTTATCGTGTTGATTATAATAGGAGTGGAGATGAAAATATTGTGCATACTATCTTAACTGGGTTGACCACTTCTGCTGGCCTAAAATCTATGGGAAATCGATTTTGATTAATGAGTAAAACAACTTCGGATCTGTTCGTTAGTGATTATGAGAATTGATATTTTAACCATTAGACAGAAAAAGTAGATTCCATCTGTAGGTGAAAAAAAAAAAAGTAAAAAATGACAATTGAAATAGTGAAATAACGATCAAAAAATTGATTTTTTGGTGTGAAAAATTGCTACTAAACGGCGCTTAGTTACTTATCCTATTCCATGACGATATGATTTCATGATTTTTTTTAATTTTTTTTTTATGTACGTATCAATTCAACGAAATTTTATCTATTGTCCTTGTATAATACAATTCAATACTACATATTAAACATATTATTTATGATGCCATTTAGAAATGTCAAAATATACTGAATTCTTAGGACCGACCAATCATGCTAAACCTAATTAATTTTATGGTAAGCCTAAAAGAGGGTCGTGCTGACTGCCAATTTACGCAAACGTGTATATGTTATTTAATGGAGATGAAAACCACTAACTTATAATTGGGTTGGTTATCATCTCTTCCTAGTTGGTGTTGAGCAGCCACTAGTTGATGATTATTATATATAGCATGCTTATCACTCACCCAAATTATGGATACCCACTTTCAATACTTGTAATTAATCTTTTGTAGAAGTGTTTTTATTTAGATTACGTGAACCTCTAAATCACTTATAAGTTGTAAAATAATGAGCCACTTTTTTATATATCATGACATTTGCTACGGTATAGATATCTCAAATGGTTTGCATTGCAGTAGAAAGATAGATTTTAGTTCGAACCAATAACAAATCAAATTCATGCAATAATCTCAATTACACTTATCCAAAATCTGCCATTTCCACTTTAACAATCCAACTATAAATTTGACACAATGTGATGAAGGAAGGAGCATCAGAATTCATTCTTTCAGATGGGTTTTCCTTTCCGTTTTCGTTTTCCAGTCATAATCATGGCAATAGTCGTCGTGTTAATCAGACGAGTAAGTCTCGTCCAAGGGGATATAGGCACCGCGACTTCATACAATCCTCCATACACACGTAATCATGCATATGCCCACGACTTAAAAGTGTTGCATTATCAAATCTTTACCGGATAGTACAATGAACATGATCGAGTTTTTTTTTGTTTCTCTTTTTGTGTGCAGCTACCAAGTGCCATGGCAATAGGCAGGATCAATTCCCACCAGGAAATCTGTTTGTATCAGTGAACGAGGGATTGTGGGACAATGGAGCATCATGTGGCAGGCGATACAGATTGAAGTGCTTAAGTGGACGAAATAACAGGCCATGCAAGGAGGGAACCATAGATGTTGTGGTGGTCGATTTTTGCTCGAGAAGGCCATGTCCATCGACCATGGTCTTGTCTAACGATGCTTTTGCAGCTGTTTCGCATTCTCCCAAAGCTAAAATCAACATTGAATACATCCAGTACGGACCCGTTGATCCTTCTTTTCTTCTTTTCGTCTTCTCCTTCCACTTGAAAACGTACTGATGATTTATTCTACCGCTTTTGCAGGGTTTAATCTGCAGGATTCACAATCAGCTTCATAGATAGGAAAAATTTTAAACTATGTTATTATGTACTGCTCTCCAGTAATTACTTATTTTAAGAATATATCCAACTTTTAGTATCCAACCATGCAAAACTACAAACAAGTCTGTGGTTCACTCGAGGAGATTAAACAGGCTTGATCCTATCCACGACAACAACTACAACGACTAGGAGAAGAAAAATGCATAAACCAGCAATTTATACTCTAAAATTAACTGGACTACATTCATGCACTTCTGTATCGCGCCTCTACAACTTCACAACAGGTCTCTGTAAGTCGAGATAGGAACAAAACTTGAGAAGGGATACGCCAAATTAAATTACCTGCAGAATGTTTTTAGTGTTAGCAATCTCTGTACCTTTACGCAAGAATGAAGATAACGAACTGTATCAAGTTATAATCTCAATCAACCTGCATAAAGAATGATCCCATGAGGAAAAAATTCTGCATTATGCATATGACAAAAATGACCAAAATAAGGCTCAGAAAGAAAAATAAATAAATAAATAAAGAAGAAAAAATCTCTATTTTTTGTAAGGACCTGGACCAGTGCTCAAGTCATTAATCATATGTACTAATTGGTACCGAGATTCAACTTAAGTCTCTTGTAAGATAGAGAAGCGACAGACTGTGAGGGGTACAGATCCGGGTCGTTACACTGGGTCAGAACTCAGGGAGAAAATAGTTAGTTAAAAGTAAGTCTTGAAAGCTTCTAACACGCTTGGCTAAGCCATAAAACTGTTGGAAATAAGTGGGTATAAGTCGAGAGAAGTTTTGAAAAGGATGAAACAACAGAGTAATGCAACATTCAGCCAAGCTTCTCCGGTTCCTACACTCGTCAATTTTCACCACTAGCGAGAGAGCAGCAGAACAGAATTGCCTCTCTCTTCTCCAACTCTGCAACTCTCTGCCAAAACTCACTCAATTTCATGCTCACCTTGTCAAAGTTGGTCTCCATGCTAACCCTTTAGTCCTCACCAAGTTCACCCACGTTTCCTCTCATCTCAATGCCGTTCACTATGCTTCCTCTGTCATTTTCTCCCCAGAACCCACTTCCCAGTGTTATGATACCTTCCTTTTCAACACCCTCATCAAAGCATATGCAGAGACTAATAATTCTAAGCACACTGCTATACATTACTACACATTTATGCTTAGCTGCGGGATTAGGCCTAATAAGTATACATACCCTTTTGTTCTTAAGGCCTGTGCTGGCATTATGGACTTGCGTTTAGGCCAAGCGGTTCATGGATCAGTTGCGAGACTTGGGTTTTGTTATGATACTCATGTTCTGAACACTTTGGTTCATATGTATTGTAGTTGTGAAAATGGAATTGATTTTGGTGAGAAGTTGTTTGATGAAATGCCCAAGTGTGAGCCAGTTTCTTGGAGCGTGATGATTGGTGGGTTCGTGCGGTGGGGGATGTCGAGTGAAGCTGTCAGCTTGTTTAGGAGAATGCAGATTGCTGGAGTGAAGCCCGATGAGTTTACTATGGTGATGGTACTGTCAGCATGCACAGATATGGGTGCACTTGAACTTGGAAGGTGGGTAGAGTCTTATGTCGAGAAGGAGAAGATTGAAAAGACCTCAGAGCTTTGTAATGCACTAATCGACATGTATGCAAAGTGTGCTGATATTGATAAGGCATTGAGGTTGTTTAGGAACATGAGCAAAAGTAAGAGGACAACTGTTTCTTGGACTTCGATGATTGTTGGCATGGCGATGCATGGCCGTGGTTTGGAAGCAGTTTCATTGTTTGAGGAGATGAGACGAGCCGGAGTGGCTCCGGATGATGTTGCATTCATTGGTTTGCTCAATGCTTGTAGTCATTCTGGTTTAGTTAAGGAGGGGAAGCGTTATNTACTAGACTTAAAATTGAAGTAGATCTATCAACTTTAAGAAATGAGTTTTTTAGCGTAACTAAATTCGAGTTAATTGTTCCAATGATCACTGAATTTAGGTCCATATCTTTGATTAGTTACCAAAGTTTAAAATGTCCAGTTTTGGTCACTAAATTTAGGTTCATGTCTTTGATTACTCACTGAACTTAGATTCATATCTTCGATTGCTCGCTGAACTTTAAAATGTCGAATTTTGATCATTGAACTTTGGAATATATTGTACGTTACTCACTAGCATAATTGTTAAATTTTGAAAAATATGAAGTTTACAGTGAGTAATGTACAACATTTTTCAACGTTCAGTGAGTGAGGTACAACATTTTTCAAAATTCAGTGGCCAAAAATCCACATTTTAAACTTTAGTGAGCAATCGAAGACATGGACCTAAGTTAAGTGATCAAAACTCGACATTTTAAACTTCAGTGACCAATCAAAGATATGAACATAAGTTCAGAGACCATTGGAACAATTAACTCCTTATATTCAATAAAAGTTTCATATTATGTATATGAAATGTTATCGATCTTAGAAATGTTAAACTCATTATTTTTTTTAATAGAAGCTATATGAACGTGTCCAAATCTAACATGACATAAATTATAAGAATCCAACAAATAAATAGAAAAAGTATATGCTTTATTATTAATCACGGAAACATTGAGTTTCAACAAACTCTCATCTGAATACCCTGGAAAGAAAAAAGAACAACCTTAGATAGTACAACTTTATCACTCTCAAATACAATTTAAACCCCTTTTTGACTAAGATAAAGCTAATGTTTAAGACTTCGACACATTTATCAAAGGACTTTTATACTGCCTCTGTCTGATAAAAATAAACTTGTTTCTATTTTTCAACGTTATGAAAATCGAACAACCGGCTGATTCAACCAAAAAAATTGTAAGTCAGTCTCAAATCCATTTCGATCATCATAGATTAGCCAGAAAAAAAATCATTGAATATACCATTAAACCAGCTAGCTAATCATAAACCAAAAACAGTGTTCGATTTTTCAGAAGTAAAATTATTTCATTCTTAAAACAAGAAAATATTAAACTACTATCATGGCCTACCTACTTTACTAAAAGGCCCGATATTGAATTCTGCCCAAATGATGTTCCTTTTTAAAAGAGATTGCCTCCTCCACTTTTTATGACCTTTGATGTCAGATAAGATAATAGCCAATTTCAATTCTGAAATCCATTGTTTGAGCCCCATTTTATCAAAAACTAATTTTTTTTTTTTCAAAACTCATTTTCAATCACGCATTCTCCAATAAATTATTTTTACACGTAAGTCGAAAATTTTTCTTATTTTTTAATTACATTCTCCAAAAAATACTATTCAAAAATATATTTTACCCCAAAATAGGACTCAAACAAGAGATTTAGAATTGAACAAAGCAAAATACTATTCCAAAACTCATTTTTCATATTTTTTTAACCACACATAATATTTTATTTCATTACTTTTATTAACAACAAATCATAACCCTAACAAAGTAAATTATTTTTGACATATTGATTGTTAGTTTTAGAAGTTATTAAATAAATTAAAATAATAAATTTAATTAAGAAAACCATGGATGTATATTTGTTTTCTTTAAATTAGTAAACTAAAATTAAAATATATACTGTTGTTATAATATTTTATAGTTTATGCATATAGTTATTTCTTTAATTTGAGGCAATGCTACATGTATATCAAAGATTACATAATCTTTTACATAATGCTACACAATACTTTATCATTTGTCAATTTAAAACACAATCAATATTTTCGTCCAGTCTTTTTCCTCCACATCATTTCAATCACTTCTTCTAGCTGTTTTTCCTATACAAACAACAAAATCGTTTAATTTAACATGTGGTTCGATTCTGATGCGAATTCACGTAACAATAGTAGCTGCAAAACCAACATAAGATTGATTCAAACTTAAGAAAGCGAAGAATTAACGTTTAGAATTTGATCCAAAAATATTAAATCAAAGAATCAACACAATCATCAACAATATGTTGACTCCATGATCAAGGGATTCAAGAATCTCACCCAAATTGTTTGACCACAATACACAATTTTCGATAGGTTTAAAATTAATTCAATGAAGAACAAATGGCACACAAAATATTTGATATATGATAGAAGTTGTTCTACAATGAAAATAATGATTTCTATTTACAAGGAAATCATAAAACCCTAGTCTACATGGAATTAAAGTCTTAAGATAACAAAAGTTATAAAAAAAAAAAATAGAGTTTTAACATCCAAATTTTGCACTTCAGACTATGTGGCCACATAATATAATGTGGTGTGGTCGCATAGGACATATCTTGTCGACAAGTTTGTTCTCGATAAATAGGAATACGATCACATGCCTAGGTAAGTTATGTGGTCACATAGGTTTCCCTTTTAGGTCTCCCATCTGCTGTTCAAACCAAGTTGATCCACTTTGAGTCTTCTTCCAAACCCAACATGAAACTGGTGTCATGATCAATGTTTCATCCACTGCAGCTTGTGTAAATAATCCCATCGCTTCTTTGATCCTCTTCGTTCACGATCTAATCATCGATCCTTCTTCAACGATCAACGGTCATTACCTGAACTTACTTTCATACTGTGAATCACATCATTCCCTTCCTCTTCGAAAGGATTCGACCTAGAATCTAACCTGCATCAAAGAGAGAAAGAACAAAAACATTAAAAGTAGCCGAAACATTATACTTACCAGGATGATCTAGTTTGTATGCATTGTCATTAATCCTTTAAAAGACTTGAAATGGAACATCTCCCCGTGGCTACAACTTCAATTTTCGTTGTTTTGGAAAATGTTCATTTTGCAAGTGTACCTAAACCCAATCCTCAAGTCCAAATGTAACGCTCTTCCTACCTTTTTTTGCTTGAGAAGCATTGTGTTTGTTCTTCTTCTCAATTTGCAATCTTACATTTTCATGGATTGATTTTACCAAGTTGGCCTTCTTCTTCCCATCTAAGTTGCCTCTTTCATCAACAGGTAAAGGAATTACATCTAAAGGTGTTAGTGGATTAAGACCATATACAATTTCAAAAGGTGAACAAGTAGTAGTAGAATGTGTGGCCCTATTGTATGCAAAATTCAAAGAATGGCAAGCACATTTCCCAACTCTTCAAATTCTTATTAACTGTAGTGCGTAACAATTGTATTATATTTCTATTGACAACCTCAGTTTGTCCATCAATTTGTGGGTGATAAGTAATAGAAAACAATAGCTTGGTTCCTAACTTATTTCACAAAATCCTTCAAAAGTGACTACTTTAAAGAACAAATCCACAAAACCTATCACCACCACAAATATGGAATATCTTCCTTTCTCACTATGGATGTATGGTTGATTTGTTAAGCAGGGCTGGACAAGTGAAAGAGGCTATGGAATTTGTACATAGAATGCCTATTGAACCAAATCCTGTAATTTGGAGAACTTTAATCACTGCTTGCCGTGTTCACAGTGAGCTGAATCTTGGTGAAAGAATAACTAAGGAGCTTATCACAGATGAACCGATGCACGACTCCAATTACGTGCTACTTTCCAATATTTATGCTAAAATGTTGAACTGGGAAATGAAAAGCACAGTAAGGGAAGTGATGGAGAAGAAGGGGATTAGCAAGGTACCTGGGAGCACTATGATTGAGCTTGATGATGGAATTTATGAGTTCATTGCAGGCGATAAAAGTCACGGCCAAGACGAAAAGATTTACGAGATGGTGGATGAAATGGAGAAAGAGATGAAAAGAGCTGGATATATCACTACAACATCAGATGTGTTACTTGATATTGATGAAGAAGACAAGGAGGGTGCTTTGAATAGGCACAGTGAAAAGTTGGCTATTGCTTTTGCACTCCTTAAAACACCTCGTGGAACGACTATTCGAATAGTCAAGAATTTACGAGTTTGCACAAATTGCCACACTGCGACTAAGTTCATATCTAATATATATAATCGAGAAATATTGGTACGAGACAGAAACCGCTTTCACCATTTCAAAGATGGGTTTTGCTCGTGTAAAGACTTCTGGTAGCAAGTTGAGTTTCATTTCATTTCAAGTGATGATTAATAGCTCTGTCTTGTTAACTTATCTTGAATTGTAAAAGTCACATACCTTAGGCACATACCCCTAGCCTGTTAAAACATTACCACTTGAGATAGTCACAGATCTTAGGCCCAGTTATAATTCATCTGGGAGTTGATATGGATCTGGCCCGATGAAGAATCGACTCATTTTGGCTCCATTCAATATATATATATCCAAATCCAAGCCCAGGCCGAGATCTCAACCATATTAATCAACTTACATGCCCATATCAACAAGAATCGGCATCAGTGCTTTATCCATATCACCGATGACCGATAAGCACTGCATATTAATAACAATACTTTATTTAGGGCTGGACAAAACTCCCGATCCGAACTGAACCCAACGATTCTTCTTAAGTTAAATATCTGAACAGGTATCCGAATTGAAAACTGACGGGTACTGTTCGATTTTCGGTTCTAGACCAAGAACCGAAGAACAGAATAAGAACCGAATTTTCCTTATTTTTTTATTTTTTTATATTGAATAAATCAAATTATTTTAATTTTTTCTAAATCTAATTTTTTGGCCTAATTATTTGTTTCATTTTTAATTTTTTTTAGCCCAATATCAAGCATTCTTGACCTATTTAGGAGTTCTTTAACTCCTAAAATAGTTGAGGTCTCGATTTGTACACAAAACTGGCTAATGGAAGAATCTAGACTTTTGAGAGTTTTCGAAGATAGAGTTTGCAATGAAGAGACAGAGTTCTATGAGAGATTGAGACAGGTAATAAAATATATGTTTTATTTTTCTTATTAAATCTTATTAGTTGAACAATTTTTAGTTCATTTATATTTGTTAATTGTGTTTTTTCAATTTTTTCTGTAGAGTTTCTTCGTATGACAACTCAAAAAATTGATGATTAATCAAATACCTGGTAAATATTAACAATACTTAAAAATATTTTATCTCTATGACTTCTAATTCATATTTAATTGTTTTATGTAGACTTGATTTTGAAGGCTTGAAGGCTGAAGTAAGGGAATTATTGATATGGATTGTCGATATTTTAGTACTAGTATATACTTTTTGGTATATGTATACATTGGTAAATTAATGCTATTGGACAACTTGTTATTTATATTTTTTTAATGGGACTTCGTTAATTTGTAAAAGCTATGATTCAACATATTATTAGTTGTATTTATATGGTATTGTAAATGTTAAAAAATATTATTATGGTACGAAACCGAACAAAATCGAACCGCACCGAATGGAATCGAACCCGAACAGTTCCATAATTAAATTTAGACTCGACGGTTCCAATTACTAAGTACTCGAAAATTTCGAGTCGATTCGATCATTAAGGGAACCGAAACGAATCGGACCATGTCCAGCCCTAACTCTATTAACAAAATAAACCAAGCAACTTTGCCTAATGATAGTAACACGTACTTTGTGTCCAATTCAAGTCCCGTATGTAAAAAATATTTCAAGTTCAAAATGTTTATTCATATAGGATTGTAATTTGTCATTTGTTCGATACATTATGTTGAATAAGATTAATAACGTGTCAAACACATCCACTATTATCATCAATTTGTGTTTCATGTCTTGTCGTGATCTCCAAATTCCTCTTACTTCCATGGAAAATGAAATTCGTTTTCCAACTTTCACTTTAGGCCATGTTTGATAGATTTTTTTTTTCCATGGAATTCTCTTTCTTTGTTGTTTTGAAAACCAGACTTTTTTTTTTTGTTTTTCTTGAAAACCAATTCCCACCATATATTGGTGGGAATTGGTTTTCTAGGCACTGTACACTTTTTCTTTTTCTTTTTGTTGGTATTGGAAATAAATTTTAAGAATTATTGTAAAAAAATATTTTTCTTTAATTGACAATTTTCATATAAAATAAAGTCAAACGAACACTAAAAAATAGTTAATTTTCTTTAATTTTTATTTTATTTATTTATTTTTTTGCAATGGAAACAAATTTCATCCTCAATACCAGTAAAATCTATTCCTTTAATTGACAATTTTCATGTAAAACAAAGTCAAACGAACCCCAAAAAAACTTTTATTTCAACATTTTCCACATGAAAAATTAAATCAATCAAACACAATAATTTACAATTTTTAAGAAAACAATTTCTAGGCAATTCAATTCCCTAAAATTCGTTTTCAATTTAATTCCATCTTTACAATCAAACGGATCCTAATAGTTTATCCACAATAATGTATTAGCCAAAGAAAGGGGCACTGCAATATTAGTGTTGCCAAACCTCACCACTACGATAGAAGTCAATTTCAGGGTTAGGTAGAAATTTAAAAATGTGGGCGTTCTATCCACTTGAGATTTGAAAAATCTAAAAATCTAGTACGAGCCTTCAATAATTAACAAGAAGATGAGACAAAAATTATGAATTTAATCAATAGTGCGTATAAATTCCCCCTAGTGGTCACCTCCAAGGCAGCTCTATATTATAAATTTATGCTGCTACCAAGAATCAGCAACTAGCATTTTAATGAAGAATTTACTGCTGGTAGTTGAATATTATATAATGGTTTTGATCATACTCGAAAGACAAACCCCACTTAATTACTTACCATCGTCTCCACTACTCAACAAACTCACCCCGGTAATATCAACCCGTCCATAATTTGGGTAAACAAGTCTCGTTTTTACTCAAACTCACTGTCCAAGTACAAGTAATTAATTACGTCTTGCTATTTACTAACTAATAAAGCTATTTGTACATCCGGGGTTGACACCCCTGACGGCACTCCCCTCGCAAGAGAGGGGGACACACACGTAATAAAATAATTGCGGATCCCCCTCTTGTGAGGGGAGTGTCATATGGGGTGTCAATCCCGAATATACAAATAGCGAAGTCCATTTACTAACAATAGCGATCAAAACTCAACAAGAAAGTTTCAAACCCCAGAAAAGGCTTAGAAATCTTTTTCACACAATAAGAACAAGCCATGCCAGCTAACGATCCAAGCAGCATCTTTTGGATTGATTTACCTTCCTTTTCATGTCCTTTTCAGACTCCATCTCAAGGTCTCTTCAAATAAAACTCACCATACTTCCTGAGTTAACTCCACTCGCGGCTAACATTCCTTCACACCTCAAATTCCCTGTGTTCGTCAATGTATTGCGACTTTCACAGAATTATGAATTACCACGTTAACTTTTCAACTTCTAGCCAAAATTTCTAGGATGCTGACACTCTCTCTACGTCTTACTTAACCAGTTGATAAAGGCACACAATACTTCCTCCTGGGATTCAAAGTCTACTTTCATTAAAAAGGATATTTATTACTAACTACTTTAAGAAGAAATTTACGAAGCAGATGTCGATAAGAACAAAAGGGCCACGGGAGGAAGAAACAAGAATCTTAAAAGAAAAACGAGGAAATTAAGGTGTTTGATAATCTATACTTCTTAAAATGCTCTTTCTTGTACATATGCAATGTTACTATAAGCAAGAAATATAGATCTCAGATCTCCATTACCAAAAACCATCTATTTGAAGAGCACATTAACATATAATCCAGTTAAGACACCTCAACTTGGATAAAATTAAGTCTAAAGTCAATACAATAAATCCTGAGTTTTCTTTTAAGGTCATTTCCCCACTCTACCATGCTCATAAAGACATCCAATTTCTACGATGTTCATAAAGGCATCCAATTTCTACCATGTTCATAAAGGCATCCATTTCCCGAGTTTTCTTTTAATCTTTTTGGCAAGGATATCCATTTATGTTTCAGTTTATAAGATCACTGTGTTTCTTGTACAGAAATTGAGGTCCCGGTATAAACATTGAAGAACCCTTTTCACTCAATCCATAGAGAAAATTAAACCAACAATGTGGCAGGTAATTAACCATACTTATTATTTTCTTGTTTCACTTAATCCTTTTCGATTCTCAATATTAAAAGAAGTAATCTCACTTTCAACAAATGCTACTTACCAACATTTGTAGTACTACTATCACATCTAAGCAATTTCTAAACAAGATCAAGAACACCATATGATAAAGGGAAATCGACACAAGTATAGGATAAACGAGACCAAGCAACTTAAAAAACAATGATCAATTCGCATAAGCCTTGACAATTCATTAAAATAAAAAATAAAAAGTAATGTGTCTATTTTAGACAAGGAAGGAAACATGGGAAATGTAGGAAAAAATTCGAAAAGAGATGCAAGGCAATCGAGATTTTTACTCTACTTAGGCGAAATGGGGACCTCATAAACCAAGAACAACTAAATAAACCACATTTCCAGATTCATCAGACATCATGTTCAAATCCCAGATCCACTCCTACCTCTTAGATTATTTCAATTATTTGCTTCCTAACTCAATAATTTTCCAATTGCACCTATGCATCTCCCTTCCTCTCCATTCCATCTCCTTCTGTCTCTTCCAACAATTTTCCAGCCTCCTCCTCTGCTGTCTGCGCCTTCCTATGCGCCTCATTTGCCTTCAAAGCCTGCAATTTCGAGTGATTATAATAGGCCACGCCTAAAAATGCCAATCCGTACCCAAACAAGTTCACAGGCGTCACAGTATCCTTAATCACGGACCATGAAAACGCGATCAGCAGCCAATCCTTCACCACTCCAGCCACATTCATGGTCAAAGCCGAAGTCTTTCCAACCAACAAGAATACAGCCAAGTTCAACGCAAAAGCGCACAGTGAATTAGTACCAAAAATAACGAAATCAAACTGAAATCCCGAATTCTGCTTCAGCATAGGGTACTCCACTATAATCCAGGGAATGGAAAGAAAGGCCAAGCAACTAGGGGCAACATAGTAAAGTGAAGTAATTGGGTTCAAATTTATCCCCTTTGAAGTCAATAGAATCTGAATCATAACCAACCTTGTAGCCTCGAAAAGAACCGCACCCAGTTGGAGAAAAACGCCCCAAGAATCATACTTGGCTTCACCATAAGCAGCAACTGCGACACCAAGAGAAATGGCAAGCATGTTGCCCATGGTGTTGCTCTTGAAAGCATCTTTTTTGAACAGGATCCCAATTGTATACACAGCGACAGGCATAAGGGCCTTAAGCATCTGGATAAATGAGACAGATAGATAAATATAAGCAGAGTTTGACAGCCATAGGGAGAGTGAATAGAGGGCACCAATGGGGACAACTGAGGTGAGGTAGACATGTCGAGAAAGGGAAACGGGCTCTACGAGCTTGAGCACCCGGACGGCTATAAAGGCCAAGGAAGAGCAAAAAGCCATGTGAATCATGGTTAGTGAAATGGGAAATGGCCAGTTGTAGAGTTTTCGGTCAAGAATGTACTTGTTATAAACTATAACAGTAAAGGAGAGGAAGATCCATATGGCGACATAGGTGTAGGAGAGGATGATCTTTTTCAGTACCCCATCTCCGAAAGTTGAATCTTTCCCCATTGTCGGTGCTGAAAGCAAATCTTAGAGAGTTTTGGGAGTTCAACAACCTGGGGGGCTTATTTATGAGGAGGAGCCCCGGGAGAGGTGGACAAAAGGGAGTCTCGAAGATGGGATTTACTTGTAACTTTAACTAGCATAAGATACGGATATGCTGATCAAAGTCTATGCCTAACAATTCTCAGTTCTATTGTTCATTTTCCTTTCCTTTAGGACATAACATCTTTTCACTAATAATAAAAAACACAATCAAACTCTCTCTTTAAACCTGATCAATTTAATTTAAATTTTTCTATTCTATTTTCAACTACATAATTTTCAATAAAATAATATTTACACAAATCGAAAATTTTTCATTTTTTTACAACCATCCATTTTTAAAAAAAACACTACTCCCCTTATTATAAATCTAAATAATGGGGGCCAAACGGGAGCTACATAATTGTTCCAATGGTCACTGAATTTAGATATATGTCTTTGATTGGTCACTTCAATTTAAAATGTAGAGTTTTGGTTACTAAACTTAGGTCTATGCCTTTAATTGCTCATCGAAGTTTAAAATGTCGAGTTTTGGCTCCTGAATTTTGAAAAATGTTGTATATTACTAACTAAATTTTGAAAAACACCATACATTACTCACTGTAAACTCGATATTTTTCTAAATTCAACAATTATGCTAGTGAGTAACTCACCGCATATTCTAAAGTTCAATAACCAAAACTTGACATTTTAAACTTCAATGAGTAATCGAAGACATGGACCTAAGTTAAGTGACCAAAACTCGACATTTTAAACTTTAGTGACCAATCAAAGACATTGACCTAAATTCAGTGACTATTGGAACAATTAACTTCAGTAATTTCACAGTACCGTACTACCAGATGAAAGATAAATAAATAAATAAAATCTCTTATGTTCAAATTTTGTTCATCATGTTACATTTGGCTCATTAATGCACAACAAATATTTAATAGGTAAATTACGGCTAATGTTATCAACCTTTAAGGTAACTACACCGATCATTGAGGTCAGTCGCTTTCCCAACTTTTGAAGAATAGGCGGCATTCATCTTGACAAATATAATACCTGTTGATTAGTTTTTTGGCACCTTCCTTTGCAGTTGACTAGTGGTGCCCTATTTTGAAGGCCAATATGTCTGCTCCTTAATGGTTTTCGTATATTCCGTCAGGTGTGTCAATTAGCTCATCTCTAGTTTTGAATGGTTGAAAGTCTCTCCGATAAGGTATGATGAAATCTATCTTATAGAGTTACCTATTGATCACCGAGTATTTAATATTAATTTGGTCCTCGCTTCTTAGTTTCAAGTGAGTTGTTAGATAGTCTTTTTTTGATCGAGTGTTTAAAAGTTGAATTTGTTAAGCAATTTTCAATTAGAATTGGGCTAATTGTAACTATATTGACAAATTGGAGGTATCGCTAAACCTCAATGTGAACGGTCTCTTAAAAAAAAAAAAAAAAAGAAGTCTGTTTTCCATACATCCCTAAATATTGGGGAAAAAGATCTCAAAGCCCCTTGAGATTGACGGGCTTACTAACAAATTTTATTAATAGAAAAAAAAATCTATTTTTGTCCAGTAAATTTCTGCCATAACTGGACTAAGGTACTGTTAGACTAGCACACATGGTAGGGAACACAAAGATTGGATGCATTGGAGATTAGGTGATGGGTTTTACTATTAAACTAAAGTCAGAATTTTATTTTTATTTTTATTTTTATTTTTTGGCTTTGTATGATTTGGAGAGCCGTGATTATCAATCATTCGATTTGATGTCCACTCCTTTAAATTAACTAAATTGAAAATTATATGTGTATAAAAACTGGCATTTCAACAAATCTTTATTTATTTTTAAATGATTTGGTATGCCCCTCATTGGCGGCCGCTGGAAATCTTATAAAAAAGAATTTTGGGCCGTTTGCTATATTATCGATTTCGTCGCCAAATTTTTTTTTTTTCTTTAACGAGGTGTCCCAACTTACGCCAGAGTATATCCTCATCCCTGAACTTCCGGCCCCTCAGCAGCTCAGGGAGGTAAATCGCGGAATGTGCCCAAGTTGACCAGGGTTCGAACAGTCTTTATACTCCTAATCCCAAGGGAGCCTCCTCCATGGTTATTACATCACCAAACTGCTCCAACCCTTCCTCTGGTTATTATAACACTCAGCTGCTCCAACCAGGAATCGAACTCCCCACGCTGGGGTTGCGAGCCCCGCACTATCCTTCCTTTGCCAACTTGGATGTGTGCCCGGGGGGCATTTCGTCGCCAAATTTATGTAGTCGTTTGGTGAATGAAGTGCAACTCTCATTCAGTTATTGAGTGAGTGAATCGTGTCAACAATTGTCCACTTTCGAACATGTCGCGATCAACCAGATGTTACAAATATGATAGATCAACCAAGTATCATTGTGATTGATCAACCCCTCATGGAGAAGGTCGGTCGGTCGGTCGATTGCCTCTGTGCTCTACCCTTACCCTGTTCGTGTGGGTTAACAATCTATTTACCTTTTTCATGTGTAATATCAAATGATCTTATATTTATAAGTAAATCGTAATTTGAAATTAAATTGATATTAATTTTCAAGCAATAGACTCGGGTTCGACTACCAGCAAACGTATCGGTTTCCAAACAATATATCATGTCAAGTTGAAAGAAACAATGTAATATCAAATGATCTTATATCTCCAAGTAAATCGTAATTTCAAATAAATTGAAATTAATTTAGAATTAATTTACTTTGCCAGAAGAAATTGTTTAGATGCAATGCCAGAAAATGAGTTGGAGGAAGTGATTGGACAAAAAAGATAAATGTATTTTAAATTGTCCAATTATAGTGTTATGTGACATTATGTAAATTATTTTTAAGTCTTGATGCACATGTAGCAAAATTAATTAATCTTCAATAGCGTGTTTGTAGTCCAACGGTTAGGATAATTGCCTTCCAAGCAATAGACCTGGGTTCGACTCCCGGCAAACGCATCAATTTTTGTCTTTTAAGTCTTAACCTTCTATAATCCATATATCTAATTCTTGCAACTCATCTGTACACCAAATTTGATTATAAATCTCATTTTTAAATTTCAGTTACCGCAAAATAATTGTTTTAATTTACCCAAAAAAAAATAAAAATTTAATTGCTTTAAGCTTAGGCCTAAATATTTATACATTATTTTGCACCTTTTTCTTTCGTTGAGAAAACGATACATCATCTCAGGCTGAAAGAAATAATGTAATATCAAATGATCTTTTATTTCTAAGTAAATCGTAATTTGAAATATATTGAAAATTAATTTAGAATTAAACTACTTTGCTAGAAGAAATTGTCTAGATACAGTGCCAAAAAATGAGTTGGAGGGAAGTAATTGGATGAAAAAGGCTAAATGTGTTTTAAACTGTTTAATTATAGAGTATCTTGTGACATTATGTAAATTACTTGTACGTCTTGACACACATGTAGAAAGATTAATTAATCTTCAACAACGCGTTTGTAGTCCAACGGTTAGGATAATTGCCTTCCAAGCAATAGACCCGGGTTTGACTCCCGGCAAACGCATTGGTTTTTATCCTTGAGTCTTAACCTTCTAGAATCCATATATCCAATGCCTGCAACTCATATGTACACCAAATTTGATTTTAAACCCCATTTTTGAATTTCAGTTAACGCAAAATAATTGTTTTAGTTAACAAAAAATAATAATAATAAAACTAATTGCTCTAAGCTTAGGCCTACTTATCTATGCATTATTTTGTCCCTGTTTCTTTCTTTGAGGGACAATATATCATGTCAAGTTGGAAGAAACAATGTAATATCAGACGATCTTTTATTTCTAAGTAAATCATAAATTGAAATTAATTTAGAAGTAATCTACTTCGCCAGAAGAAATTGTCCAGACGCAGTGCCAGAAAATGAGTTTGAGGGAAATGATTGGATGAAAAAACTAAATGTGTTTTAAACTGTCAAATTATAAAGTGTCGTGTAATATTATGTAAATTACTTGTACGTCTTGATGCACATGTAGCAAGATTAATTAATCTTCAACAACTTTTGTAGTCCAACGGTTAGGATAATTGCCTTCCAACCAATAGACCTGGGTTCGACTCTCGACAAACGCATTGGTTTTCATCCTTAAGTCTTAACCTTCTAGAATCCATATATCTGATGCCTGCAACTCATCTGTACACCAAATTTGATTATAAACCCCATTTTTAAATTTCAGTTACCGCAAAATAATTGTTTTAGTTTACAAAAAATAATAATAATAAAATTAATTGCTCTTAGCTTAGGCCTAATTATTTATGCATTATTTTGCCCCTTTTTCTTTCTTTAAGCAAATAATATATCATGTCAAGTTGGAAGAAACAATGTAATATCAGACGATCTTTTATTTCTAAGTAATTCGTAATTTGAAATAAATTGAAATTAATTTAGAATTAATCTACTTCGCTAGAAGAAATTGTCCAGATGCAATGCCAAAAAATGGGTTGGAGGAAGTGATTGGACGAAAAAGCTAAATGTATTTTAAATTGTCCAATTATACAGTGTCGTATGACATTATGTAAATTACTCGTACGTCTTGATGCACATGTAGCAAGATTAATTAATCTTTAACAACATGTTCGTAGTCCAACACTTAGGATAATTGCCTTCCAAGCAATAGACCCGGGTTCGACTCCTGTCATGCGCATCGATTTTTATCTTTAAGTCTTAACCTTCTAGAATCTATATATGTGATGCCTACAACTCATCTGTACACCAAATTTGATTATAAACCCCATTTTTGAATTTCAGTTACCGCAAAATTATCGTTTTAGGTTACCAAAAAAAAAAAAAATAATAATAATAATAATAATTGCTTTGAGCTTAGGTCTAATTATTTATACATTATTTTGCCCCTTTTTCTTTCTTTAAGCAAACAATATATCATGTCAAGTCGGAAGAAACAATTGTAATTCAAAATAAATTAAAATTAATTTAGAATTAATCTACTTTGCCTGATAAAATTGTCCAGATGCAATGCTAGAAAATGAGTAGCACGAAAATGATTGGATGAAAAAACTAAATGTGTTTTAAACTGTCCAATTATACGGTGTCGTATAACAATATGTAAATTACTTGTACATCTTGATGCACATGTAGCAAGATTAATTAATCTTCAACAATGCGTTTGTAGTCCCAACGGTTAGGATAATTGCCTTCCAAGCAATAGATCAGGATTTGACTCCCGACAAACGCATTGGTTTTTATCTTTAAGTCTTAACCTTATAGAATCCATATATTTGATGCCTGCAACTCATTTGTACACCAAATTTGATTATAAACCCCATTTTTGAATTTCAGTTGTGGCAAAATAATTGTTTTAGTTTACAAAAAATAATAATAATAAAATTAATTGCTCTGAGCTTAGGCCTAATTGTTTATATATTATTTTGCCCCTTCCCTTTCTTTGAGAAAGCAATATATCATTTCAAGTGGAAGAAACAATGTAATATATCAAATGATCTTTTATTTCTAAGTAAATCGTAATTTGAAATAAATTGAAATTAATTTAGAATTAGTCTACATCGCCAGAGAAATTGTCCAGATGCAGTGCCAGAAAATGAGTTGGAGGAAGTGATTGGACGAAAAAGCTAAATGTATTTTAAACTGTCCAATTATACAGTGCCGTATGACATTATGTTGTACGTCCTGATGCACATGTAGCAAGATTAATTAATCTTCAACAATGTGTTTGTAGTCCAATGGTTAGGATAATTTCCTTCCAAGCAATAGACCCGGGTTCGACTTCGGCAAACGCATCGATTTTTATCTTTAAGTCTTAACCTTCTAGAATCTATATATGTGATGCCTGCAACTCATCTATACACCAAATTTGATTATAAACCCCATTTTTGAATTTTAGTTACGCAAAATAATCGTTTTAGGTTAAAAAAAAAAAAAAATTGCTTTAAGCTTAGGTCTAATTATTTATACATTATTTTGCCCCTTTTTCTTTCTTTGGGCAAACAATATATCATGTCAAGATGGAAGAAACAATGTAATGTCAAATGATCTTTTATTTCAAAGTAAATTATAATTGAAATAAATTAAAATTAATCTACTTTGCTCGATGAAATTGTCCAGATGTAGTGCCAAAAAATGAGTAGGAGGGAAATGATTGGATGAAAAAGCCAAATGTGTTTTAAACCGTCCAATTATACAGTGCCGTATGACATTATGTAAATTACTTGTATGTCTTGATGCACATGTAACAATATTAATTAATCTTCAACAACGCATTTGTAGTCCAACGCTTAGAATAATTGCCTACCAAGCAATAGACTCGGGTTTGACTCTCGGCAAACGCACTGATTTTTATTTTTAAGTCTTAACCTTCTAGTATCTATATATGTTATGCCTGCAACTCATCTGTACTCCAAATTTGATTATAAACCCCATTTTTGAATTTCGATTACCGCAAAATAATTGCTTTAGGTTCCATAAAAAATAAAAGAAAAAAATAATTGCTTTTAGCTTAGGCCTAATTATCAATACATTATTTTGCCCCTTTTTCTTTCTTTGAGCAAACAATATATCATTGATCAGACACTGAAGAGTCATGTCAGGTTGGAAGAAACAATGATATTACAATTTCCTAACGTGCGCGTTTAAATTTCCCCGATGTTGCAAGAATCGTATAAAACTGTCATCTCGACTGGAGAACACTCCATTAAACCTTTTGCACCATGTGTTGTAGTTGAATGCGAAGAAGAAGATAAAAACGATAAACACACTGTATCTGGTCTGGATTCTGGTAATTTCACGATCGATTCATAAGGGTTCATGAAAATTTGAACCACTTTCTGCATTCTAGGCCTAAGCATTTGATCCGGATGCAAACAAGCCAACCCTATAATCAATGTCCTTTGCACTTGTTCCTCCTCAAAATCGCCTTTAAGCATCTTATCCACGCATGATAATAAAGATCCCTTTTCATATGCACTCCATACATAATCTACCAAACTGTCGTCTTCCATGATACCCTTTGATCTTCTTCCACATACAACTTCGAGCACTACGATTCCAAAGCTATAGACATCTGATTCCGGAGTGGCCCTTCCTGTATAACTAACTTCCGGTGCTAAATATCCTATTGTTCCAGCTACCATTGTCGTGACAAAGGCATTGTTGTGGAGTAATCTCGCAAGACCAAAATCTCCGAGATGAGCATTGTATTCTGAATCCAACATCACGTTATTTGGCTTCACATCGCGATGTACAACAGGATTCCCACATTCTTCGTGCAGGTAATGCAGCACTGATGCCAGACCTGATAGAATTTTGTACCTGATTTTCCAGTCAAGAAATTCCTTCCCTATGTACCGATCAAGGCTACCGTTAGGCATGTATTCATAGACAAGTAGCAGTTGCTCGCGATCATGACACCAACCCTGTAGTTGCACCAAGTTCTTGTGCCTCAGGCGTCCTATTGTGCTTATTTCTGCCAAGTACTCCCTTTCACCTAATATGCAAAAATTACGAGTAATGTGTTATTTAAACACTTGTGCATAAACACGTAACAGATCATGCTAACATTATTAGATAAGTATACCTTGGGTTGAAGTTGCATTGATTTTTTTGACAGCAATAGGTGAAGGATAATCAGAATTCGTGAAGACTCCTTTGTAAACACTTCCAAAGCCTCCAGTGCCAAGTAAATTTTCTTTGCTGAAATTGCGCGTTGCCTTTGAAAGCTCTTTGTAAGTGAACTTTTTTGGAACATTTGTTGCGAGTTTCGTCTGCATTTCAATGTCTTCTCTCCTTCCAAGCCTTTCTTTCCTTCTCCTACGCGCTTTAAGCACAAATGGCATAACAGCTAATAATAGAACCACACTTATTGGAATAACAAACTCGAATGCCCTTTTACATTTATTTAGGGCAATCCCTTCATCCAGAGATTCATTCGGCAATTCATATAATGTGAAACTCCAATCAAGAACCTGGTGGATTTCTGAGAAGTGGCCAGATGAGGCTGTAAATCCGACATAAACTTCCCGTGGAACTGTATCTTTCAAGATTATCTTGTGGTTCAGAAAATTCACTAGAGGGTTCCCAGCATATGCAACGTCAATCTTGAGCATTTTCTGTAAGGACTTTTAATTAAAGATGGGCTTGTATGTGTGAATAATTGTGTGTTAAATTATAGGCTATCGAATTCGGTTGAG